TTGTATCCGCACATACATACACACACATACATACATACACACACACATACACACACACATACACACACACATACACACACACACACACACACACACACACACACACATACATCCATTTTTTCTAAGGTATGCCAAAATGTTCAGAAACCTTTGAAACGTAAAGATATATAAAAAATTTCATTTTCGATTTTTTTGCGATTACTATAACTTACCCTACGGGAAGTTAAAAATTTAAAAAAAAAAATTTGAAATAAATTATTTTTTTTTTTAATTTTTTTTTTCAAAAAAAGTAATTTTTTGTCCAATTTATAGTTTCTCAAAAATCTTATTTTTTCAAAGTAAGTTTTTTTCAAAAATGTTAATCGTTTTTAAAAAAATAATAATTTTTGGTACGGGAAGTTTCAGCAATTTGCCTTAAGGCACGATGCCTTAATTGCCTTAAGACAGAATTCCACTTACAGCTAGTTTTGTTTTAATTGGCAAAATATTTAATCTAGTGGGGTGTATGGCTTCGTGCCTTAAGGCAAATTGCAGGAACTTCCCGTGCCATAACGAAATGTTCGAGGAATATTGAATGTTTTCAAATAGATTATTATTAATATTGTAACATTGTCTAATATTTATAAGAATTATATGATCTGAATTGCAAAGTTGAAATTATTTGTTTAAAGTATATTAGAACTATAGACAGAATTAAAAATAAAATCTGAATTATTTTCGATATACAAAAAAAAAATTATTGAAAAAAAAGATGAAACAAAAATTTTTTTTTCCAATCAATTATTCTGTTAAGATAAGCAGAAAGTTTTTTGATTCATTTGCCTCGGACGCTTAGTTCTCTCAAAAACTGCCATTATTTACACATTTAGCATTTATCTTCGAAATGGCTGGACCTGCTTTTGCCAAAAACTAATAAACACTTCTCTCAATCATTACTAATTGAATGTTTTTTAGATCATTCAAATGGGATGCTCCATTCTCTCAAAAACTCGCTTTCTATTTTCTGCACTCTTTGCTCTTTAACTCCGTAACTACTGTAACTGCTTTTACCAAAAACTAATCAGCTCATCTCTCTATCGATAGGAATCGATTGTTTTTTGAACCATTCAAATCGGTTGATCCGTGCGCCCGAAAACGTGACTGGAAATTTGTATCCATACATACATACACACTCACACACACACACACACATACATCATTTTTTTCTGAGGTATGCCAAAATGTTCAGAAGCCTTCAAAACGTGGAGAAATGTAAAAATTTTCAATTTCGATTTTCGGCCCATTACAATAACTTACCCTACGGGAAGTTAATAACAATGATTATCATTGACTCTTATATTCATTGACAAATATAATACAAATTATCAAATAGAGCAGTAAATCTCAAAATAAACTTTGAAACGACAGTATATCGTTAACTGATTTTTTTCTTACTCGGTAGTCCCAAAATTAAATATTTCCTTCGCAATTTGTGAATATTATTTAATATGCTCATCATTTTTGAGCAGCACATTCAATGTCTATTGATTTTTTAGAAGTTTCCTCACAATATGCAATCTGTAGACCTTACATCGTACATCACAGTACCCACAGGATGCACAATAGAACCGACAATGTGTTTAAGAACATAATACAATATTTTCTGCAAAGAAAATCCCGAAGAAAGTCTAGGTGGAAATCAATTTTGATGTCGCATGAAGACCGTTAAGTCATTAATCATGTTTTCCCTTCTTTCGAATTTGATGCAAGGGACTGGAATTTTCTGATAAGACGGACACAAAAATATTTTTATTTCATCAGATGATAAGTTGATAGCGCTATTAAATTAATAACATATGACAGATTATACGTGATTAATGATTTTGCATGTATCTTTAACATGGTTTACAACACATACCCAAATATGTAAAAAATGCTTGTGATGTAATGGAAAAGCTTAGAAGATCAATGGTATAAATATAGGTTTAATTTTTTTCAACCACAAATAAATGAAAACTATCTAACATGAACATAAAATCATTATTTACATTATTTACGTAAAAATGTTATTTTTTTATTAGTAGTAAGTAGTTATTTTAAAATGGTGAAATGGTAGATAATGTTCATCTATATTCTATAACAACGCCACATATTATCATTTGATCCAATCCAGTTTTTCGCTTGTTTCCTTGTAAAGCTTCATAATTATTGAAAACTTTTATATTTATATAGATTGGTATAAAATAAATTGAAAATAGTTTATGATAGTTTAATCAATATTAATAGATATTTAATAGCTCAATCAAGATTTATCTGATATCAGTTATATCTGATACTGATTATATATTGTCCTATAGAAAGCCAATTGACTTTCTATAATTCCCTAAATTAAATTGATATGCATTCAAATTACTTATAACAGTTCTAGTTCATTTTTCTTTTCTTTCTATTTCTGAGAAAACTGTATTATAGATAATTAATTTAAATAGTTAGTCTAGGATTGACGATATAGTAAGTTCCAAATTGCGGTAAATATAGATTCTAAGAGACTAAAACAATTTTTGAGACTATTTCTATATACTCCTTCTAAAAATTTAATTAGTTAACCTAGTTTTTAAGACTTATGAATATTGTTAAGTCCATTTCATTATCTTTTAAATGAATTTTGATTCTTATCTAATTCTGAGAAAATTGTATAATAATTATTAAATTAAAATTGAATTTAATACCGGTGACTAAAATACATGAACTACATGAACACATATATATTCAAATATATGCTTGTGCGTGTCTTCCGTTCAATAACAATCCATGAACCCTTTACTATTATTTACATTTACCGCATGTTTTTCTGTTTAAATATGAAATAAAACATATAGCAACTATATATTATACATTCAGTTCTACCTACATATTTGAATAAACTATAAAGTGGAAAATCGATTTCCCTGAGAGAATATGCATGCACGCTCCTATGTACAAGACAAATAAAAAACAAACAATTTTTCCGGCGAACTGAAGCAGTAAAAACTGCGCCACGAAATCTATTCATGTGGCAGCTACCGACAACAATTCGCAGTTAAGCTTGGCGGCTGCTGCTGCAGCAGCTATACTACAACTATAACTGGAACTAGAACTCTATATAGTCCGCGTACAGCTAACGCAACAAAGTAAGGCTATAATTTGACTACGTGTTTTCTGACTGTACCATTGAATGCCGTTTGCTCGCCCTATTGTGCTGAGACGAAGGATAATGGAAAATCGAAAACGATGGAAAATCGAACGGATTAAATTATTTCGACTTTATCATTAGTTTGTTCGCTTCTAATTTATAATATATAATAATGGTACGCTGCTCCGAAGAAAAGATTCTGAGCTGAATTTAGTTACGACTCGAATCAGGAAAGTTTAAAGTGAAATGTTCCTCACAGCGATTTTTCACCGAAATGTCTGATTAAGCTATTTGTAATTGGCATGATAAAAGAAAACGTACTTAAAATTATATAGAAAAAGATTTCACGTTGTTTGGAAACTATGAGCTTTTAATTGCAAATTAGAGTTTTGGTAAAATTATCATATTTTTTCCGAAATTGTGGTTAATTTTTATAAATTTTGTTTATTTAAATCTTGAAATCGTAACCGTGAATAAGATTTCTAGGACAACAGTAAAAAATAATAACACAATTTCTTCGAGTTTTTAAGAAAAAAGGCTTCTTCCTGAACTATGTATTAAAAAAATGTAAAATCGGTTGACTTTGAGGAGTCCTTTTTTAAAAAAAATACATCAAAGTGTGTTGGCAAGTTTCATAAAAAAATGGCGCAATTAATCAAGATTGTAAATTGGTAAAATACTTGATAATTTTTTATTAAAATATAAAAACCTCATAATAACACAGTTTTTTCTAGATCATTTTACTACTATTATTAAAAGTAATCCAATAAAAACTGCAAAACATACGACTTCAATTTACGAAATGTAAGGTAAGTGTGTTAGAGATTTCAAATACGTTAAAAACCAAAATTTCGATATGTCATCATTGTTCTCTCAAAAAATATTGTACGCAATTATCTAATATTGATGTGAATTTGTGTTGTTGACGTTTATCTAGTTAATAGTATTTCTGCGTCATTTTTTTTTTTTTTTTTTTTTTAACTCGTTTTATTTAGCAATCAGAAATACATAAAGATTCCTATGAGCTAAAATGACAATGTAAGAGCGATGCCTAAGAAGAGCTCCAATGAGATCTTCTCAGTTTAACAATTAATATAATAATATTATTTTAGACCTAATCTAAGACCAAGTCTAAAAGCCATTAATCTTCGTCTTAATCTTCTTGTTCCATAAGGTTTAGTAATTTCAACTATAGAGGGGTTCGAATGTGTGTCCAGTTTGCGTTTGTATTTTTCCTTGAGTTCTTGGAAAGTTAAATGCACCGTTTTCATCTTGAGGTCGCTGTGAATGGTTTCATTTGTTACGTATCATGGAGAATTAAGAATTGTTCGTAAAATTTTTGACTGAGTTCTCTGCATTATATAGCTATATTAGATTTGTAAGCACATCCCCAGAGCTCAATTTCGTAGGTCCAGATTCAAAAATGTATTATTATTATTAAATAATTTCTAGTAATTAAAATATATCAAATATAGACTGTTCATCTGTTATGTTACCTTCTGAAATGCTCAGTTTTTTTTAAGGAAAAGGATCAACACAACAGCTCATAAAATTGTTAAATTCTCATTGCGGTTAAAAATAATTTATTTGTGAAAATTACACTTTTATTTACATTTTTTGTTTAATCACATAGCGCGCTCTAGAATTTATTTAACAAGCTAACGAATCATCATTATATCATTATGATTATTACTTCAACAAGAATATTGCTGTAAATTTGCTGTAAAAAATGCTAGAATTATTCAAAATTTGCGCCAAAACTAAATACACATTTGAAGCGGTTCTCTCTATCGGTAAACTATTGAACTACGACATAAAATGTTACGTAACAATAACATACCTTAAAATATTCGGACTGTCGTTCTTTCATTTCTGGTTCAGCTCGGCTGGAAGTAACTTCTTCCTCTGATTGGTAACAAAACAACTACTCATCGAGGCAGTTTTGCTATCACAAAGTTAGTGTTTGAAGATAATGAGAGCTAAGGTAAGAATTAAATTTATTTAATTCGCGTTTATTCGAGTAACAGTTATTACTAATGTACAACTAGAATCTTATCGGAATCTCGTTTAAATCTAACTCGAATTTTGACGGTATTTTGTTTGAATCTAGCTCGAATCTTGGCGGAATCTTTTTTGTATCCAATTTGTACCTTATTAAAAGTTATAATTCTGGTGTTATTATATTTATTTTATATTTATAATTTTCGTAGTGGCGTAAAAAGAGGATGCGCAGGCTCAAACGCAAACGTAGGAAGATGCGTGCTCGTTCCAAGTAAATAAACGATTGCAATCGTAAGTAATTGTTTAAATGTGTTTATTACTGTATTCCTTGATGTGTAAATATACACACATATAAATCGTGTTTGTTTATTCACACATCAAGGTAGATTAAATTGACAATTTCCACCTGTCCAACCATGTGGTTCGAGGCAGATCTAAGGTTGTCAGATAAACTTAATGCAAATTTACAAATACACATTATTTGAGGAAAATATTCTTAACTATTTTTGTTTGTTTCAGATTTAACATTTATGTATTTTTTTAAAGTTACTTATTGTCATAATAATGAGCTTATCATAATAATGGGCGAAATGAAATATTTTGGATAATCAATCGACATCCATTATAATTACATAACAATACTATATGTATAGTCAGTTTCTAAATCATTTTGTGAGCATAAAATACATATTATCTATTAAACAAATATTATTTATCGTTATATTTTTGATTAATTATAAATCCATATTATATGAAAATACATATTTATTAATTGCTATCTTTTTTTATTATTAATAATGAACTGTGTAATTACTGTGATTATAATATTCTATACTCATTTAAAAAAATACTTGAACAGTTTTTTGTTTGATTTTGATGTTGTAAATACAACAATTCGTGAAATTACTGTGAATTTTAAATTTACGTTTTTTTTTTAAATGAGCATGAATATAAAATGTGACTTATATCAAACATAGTCGTGTTATTGTATTTAAAAAACTGACATTGTTAAGTAGATTATCTAACACAACAGCTTATAGAACTGTAAAAATTCCATTGTTGTTCAAAAAAATATTGGAAGGACACGATAATATCTATATATATATATATATATATATATATATATATATATATATATATATATATATATACGATATTAAGTCTATAATGGTTCATTTAGTCACTAGTGTTACACTATCAAGAAACAACAAATTTTCTCCACAAGTGCTTCTGCACAAAACACATCATTTAGTGACCTTGACGGAAGTCTTTGCAAAAGCTATATGCACATTCACTTTTTTTATAATTTCTAAAACTTTGTCTATTATAAGTAAATACAAAAATATATTAACAACAGATTGCACACCTATCCAATTGATATCAATTCCACCATTCAAATTACGTAACGAACTATATTATACTAGAATTAACATATGATATCGAAAATCATGAAAAAAATGTAAATTTATAGTTTTTTATTTATATGTAAGAATTACAATCTGTCGTTCTTATACAACATTCAGTAATTTTGATGGTTTATTAGATAAATGAAAAAAAGGTCGAAAGGTCACCCATTGGTGATCGATTCGATGTTGGATATGTTTAGCTTATAGATGTAGCTCTGTTGTGAAAATATTTAATTAAGCTTACGACTAAGATTTACTGAAATAAATGCAATGAATAATTTCTAAATAGTTTTCGATCAACTTCTTAAATTCAAGTCTTAAATATAAAATTTGCCAGATTTTTCTTCACTTCTGATATTTTCGCAAAAGTTCTTGCCGCCTGTAAATTCAACGCGTTCGGTACTCACGTTTCGAATTAAAACACGTGAATTTCCTGAAAATGCGATAGACTCGCGAAATATGTGCGCGCGAGATTCAAGATCTGTCGAAAACAAGTGCTGAATTCTAAATTCAATCGAATTCTCTCACTATACTGATTGAATATTAGTAGAAAACTAGCATATTTTATTTTAATGTGCTTCGGAGTTTTACTTTGAGAGATACATTTTGCTGACTAACACCTTGGCCAATATTGAAGAAAAATGTAAAGAACTAGTAAATACGCGTCAATGTAATTATTTTAATTTAATTATTTCGACATTTACTTTTTTTAGTCTAAATACATAGTGCATAAACAAACTATCATATATTACATAAATTTTTTATTGATTTTAAATTCCTATACTATTTTTCTATTAGTTCATAGCAATTTTGTAGATAGCATAAAACGATATGAGGTTAAATACGTACATTTTTTATATAAGATAAGAAATATTTAAAATATGTATATTTAGAAGATTGTAAATAAATACAAATTTATAAAAACAAACTCAAATTATAGTGGACTGATAGGACAATGCGGTAGGAATTTTTCAAATTCGACTCAAATCAGGGAGGGATCTGGCACAGGCAATGTAGTACAGTAAACCCTCGCTTTACGCGGCAAGTGCGTACCGTGCAGTATAGGAACCGTGCTATAAGAAACTCGTATTTAACATACAATTCAGGCTAATTCGTAGTGCGTTATATGGAACCTTACATAGTGCAGTATGGGAACCGTGTTATGAGAGACTCAGAGTTGGTACAAATCGCACCATTTTTATCGCGTTGTATGGAGACCAAGAAATACAACTTGAAGTAGGAGAAATACGGACGAAATGACGTGTAGGACATTGACACCTTATTCAAAAATTGGCGCGACGCAGTAATCAGCTCAAACGTGTTCTTAGGCGGCTATTATACAATCAGGCATGTCTAAAAGATAAAAGTCGATAACAAAATTTACAACAATACCCTTTTACACAACGAACTTATGGGCTGTTGACCAAATACCGTGTAATAAGAAGTCCGTGTAGTCGGAGGGATGTCGGATTTTTAGCTCCGTGTAGTATGGGAACCGTGTACCGAGAGTGCCGTGTAAAGCGAGGGCCTACTGTATATATATACATACATATATATATATATATATATATATATATATATATATATATATTTACTACAACTTTATGATATGATAAGAAATATTTCAACAAATTATTGCACTATTAAGTGCTTGTAAGATGTATGTAATGACTTTAAGTTTAACGGCGCACTTATAAGCCAGAAAGACTTTAATAAGAACCGTGTAATCGCGTAAATCTTCTCAGGCACCTACAAAATCGAAGTCAATTTGTGATACAAGTATTGACATAAATTAACTGTTTTCCTATAAACATCACACGGCAATCTATTTTACTGCATTTCTGTCTCCATAAAATCAACTACAATGATCTATCAGAGAATAAATAAAATGATAGCCGGTTAATAGTATGATACTAAAAACTTTGATACATTTTTAAAAAATCACTGAAATTTTAATCAAAGTTAATTACAGTTTTCAGTTTATTCAAAGTGAATATTTATATTTTGAAGCCATATTCTTATTTCACAATAATTGATATTTAAAAACTACATTAGTTGATCTTTAAAAAAAAAACTTTATACACTACCTGAAGAGAATAAAAATGTTTAGCCATATTTAATTGTTCATAAAAAATTTTATAATATAATACCAGAAATTTCAATACATTTCCAAAAAAATTCTGAAGTTTAAATCAAATTTAAATACAGTTATCAGATTATATAATATAAATATTTATATTTTGAAGTCATATTCTTCAATAATTTTAATTGATCTTTGAAAAAAAAATGTTATAAAGTATCAGAAAAAATAAAAACATTTACGCATATCCACTTCTTTAACAAAATTTTTAATAATATAATACGAGAAACTTTATTACATTTCCAAAAAATTCCTGAAATTTTAATCAAATTTAAATGCAGTTCGCATATTATTCAATATGAATATTTATATTTTGAAACCATATTCTTATTTCACCAAATTTTAATCGATCTTTAAAATATTTAAACAGCCAGAAGAAAATAAAAATGTCTCTGCATATGTACTTGCTTAACAAAATTTTGTTGTATTTTGTAATAATAATAATAATATGTTTATAATAATCATGACTGCAATGCAAACTTCACAAATTTTATTGATAATTTTATCAGTGATTTTTTGCACATTTTATAGAAATCATTACATTAATACAAAGTTATTTTATACATCTCGCTAGTCACAGTTTTCCAAATTTTTGAGTATTAATGATAAATTTAACTGTTGTTTATCAAAATAAACTGTATAAGCACGTATTAATATTTTCTCCACAACACAATTAAATTATAACTGTGATACTTATAATTTGGAAGTGAATTCACTATATTATTTTAAGATATTTAAGGCAATTTTAATATATTTTATAAATATTGAAATTACGTCATATTTCGTTTATTTCCTTCATATTTTTCTCGATAATTTTTTATTCTCAAAACTTCTTCTGGCTATCCGTCTATAAAAAATGTGTCCTGAAATAAGGTCGTAAAGGCAAGGACAGTTTTATATAGATATTATAAATGACGCTATCGATAAATGTAAGAACCTATCTCGATATCGATATCGATATCGATTCTGTTTATGGCTGAAGTTCGACGTTGATGGAGATGCCACCTAACAACACTTCCAATTTGATTCATGGCCGGATGATCTTCGAAATGACAAAAGATCGTTTTACGGAGCTGTAAATAAATTAATTTATAGATTAGTAAATAAAAGGTTAATTGATAATTGTTGGATCAATTTATATAACATTCAGCAAATTTTTATCTTATTATAAGCTAACTATATATACTTGGGGATCGTGGTATCCAACCTGTAGGGCAAGGCTATTACCAGAGATGCGAACACCTGTTTCCAAAATACTATTATCAAAAATAAATATAAAAAATTTAAATGATAAAAAAAATCATCGGAAAAATAATTATTGTTTATGAATATTTTTACATAAAATTGCAAAAATAATTTGAACTCTGATAATGTCAGTTGAGTATTCATAAAATAAAATTGTTGAAAAAATTAGGAAGATGCAATAATTTTTTCATTAGATCAGAGGAAGGGCGTGGTGCTAAAAAGATTGAAAACCACTGCAGGAGGATATTTATTATATAATTGCAATAAAGCTTAATTTGAATGATAGCATATTTTATTCTTCTATTTAACTTTATTTACTTATATTTAGATTTATTCTATGTTATATTTAACCATTGTGTATCAAACACATCTGATTAATCATCAGGTGTTTATTTAGCTATGTATTATATTTCATTGTGTGAAAAGTCAATTGATTCGATTGCAAAAATGTCCTTAAGTTTATGATAAACAAGTAACAGAGATTGGAGGTATGCTAAAATTATTCAAAAAATAAGAGCTAAAAAACCAATAATATATATATATATATATATATATATATATATATATATATATTGATATTAATTATTTTTTAGTTGCTAATACAGTAAGCTGTATTTCAATAAATTATTTTTGAGTATTTTGTGTAGCAAGTTTTATATATACGTATATATACTATTTTTGAGCACTATAAACGAGGAACAAATACAGTTATGTCCAAGAAAAATTCAATGGCTCTAAAATGATCAGGATTATCTGGAAACTTTTTATTAGCAAAAACAAATCATTGTTAAGAGAAGAATATTTTGAATGAACCACGATTTAGGTTTAAAATTTCGTCAAAAACGAAA